GCTCTCAGAGAGCAGGTGTGTGAGTCGAGTGGCGAATAAATTGGCCCGAACAAAGTATTGGCACAGCAAATTTTTCACAATATATGCAACAATTTTCATTCTAATATTTTTGCACTGATTTCATATAAAAATATATTTCATTCTACAACAAAAAACATAAAAATATAATTCCTAAACTTTGTGCAAAACTCGCGAGAATTCAGCAAATTTTCATGAAAATTTTAAACTTTTTAAGTAGATTTTTTAGAAATTTTTTGAGTAAAAATTCTCAAAAATCTGATTAAAACGTTGACAATTTTGATGAAAATTTGCTGAATTTTCGCGAGTATCGCACAAAGCTTAGGAATTATATTTTTGTGTTTTTTGTTGTTGAATAAACCATATTTTTATACAAAATTGCCAAATAATTAATCAAGCTTCAAAAAATCGTCACATATAATTTCCAAATTTTTATTCAGGAAATTTAGAAGATTTTCGGGTATGCAGTACTGTAGCCCATTCAACTGTAGTCTAAGAAAGTGCAAGTCTCAAGTCATTAAAAATTACCGTTGATTTTTTAGATTTTTTTTTGTGGGGGGGTGTTGCGCATTTTGTTCCATATAACACATGATCAAAAATTTTTTTATATGAAAAAAAAAATCCGCGACACCCTCAAAAAAAAAAATCTAAAAAATCAACAGTAATTTTTAATGACTTGAGACTTGCACTTTCTTAGACTACAGTTGAATGGGCTACAGAACTGCACTTAAAATTGTTAATAACTTAAAAAACAAATTATGACAAAATAAAAAATAGGAATGGGAAGAAAACACCATAATTCTTAATTGTTTAAAAAATGAGCATAGCAATCGCGAGAAAACGAATAAAATCCAAACAATTTCGAAAAAAGTTAATAGTTATAACTTCCGAAAAAATTCGAATTTGGAAAAAATTGTCGAATTTGTATTTTTTTTTTGTCGTTGTGAACCATAAACAATTAATTCCACAAAAAAACTCGACCTTCCAAAAAATGGTGGCCCACTTCACAAATTTTTACTCAGGTGTATATATTTTTTCTTAAACGAATAACAATAACTTAAAAAATTACATGTATAAAAACTGCTATTTTATAAACAAGTTCTGAACATCATCTAATAAATCGTTGGCCATTTGTATGGCTTGTGACTTTGCTTGGTCTATATATTCGGAGTAACGTGTCAAATTCATTAACATAGTTGTTCTTTGCTTCTCCACGACCTCAATACGGCTCCGCTCTTTACAATTAATCAGCATTAAACTCTAAAATTAAGAATAAAAAATAACAGCCACATATTTATGTAGAAAATATACATACATATGTACATAAGGGGCCGAATGAATAAAAACTAAGAAATTGCTTTTTCTTAAAATTTCAGACCTTTTACTCGAGGAATTTAAGTAAAAGCTCTGAAATTTTTAAGGCATGGCAATTGCTTACGTTTTATTCATACGGGGCATTATACTTATGCGTGTATGTTTCGTTGAGGAAATTTAAAAAGGCCTTTAAATTTTTTTCGAAAAAGATCTTTGTTACTTGTTTTGAGTGTTTATACAAAAACTTAACTGCAAAAAATTTTAAAAGCCGAAAGCTTAAGAACAACCAGCCATAGGGTTTTTTAGGGTCTCGATGCATTGCGGCAGTTTTTTTTCTGCAAATAATTACTAATAGAACGAACAACAATATTAGTCCAAAACGCGATTTTAAAGCCATTGAGATGTTAGTGATATTTAAAAAATAGTAATAACTTTTATAAAAAAAAATTATGGCCAAATAAAAAATTAAAATGGGAAGAAAACATCATCATTCTCAACTGTTTAAAATATGAGCAGAATCGGTATTACCAATCGCGAGAAAACAATTAAAATCTAAACAATATCGAAAAATGTTAATGGCTATAACTTCCAAAATAATTCGAATTTCGAAAAATTGTGAAACTTGCATTTTTCTTTTATCGTTATGAAGCTTAAACAGATAATTGCACAAAAAAAGCTAGACCCTCGAAAAAATGGTGGCCCACTTCACAAATTTTTACTCTAAAGAAAGACCTTTTCGTAAAACACATTCATGATTGCGATTTCTGGGATTTCTATCGAATTCCAAAGAAATCGCATTGAATGAGGTCCTCAGGTACATTAGGAAACAAATTTTGTGTAATTTAATTAAGGCGACACTGTTGAGAAAGGTCCTAAAGGTATGCCAGTATTTTTACTGTGAAGCCAAGTACAAAGCTCACCCTCTTAACTACATGTGTAAAGTGTGAAAGAAATTGCAAGATGCGGTGGAAACACTTAAACAAGATCTGGAGATTTCGGTGAAGTGGTAATGAACTATAAGAAATTTTCAAAGTCAAATCTTTTTGTTTAATTTTTTTTTTTTGTGCGAATGTCGGTTTCGTGATATGGAGGCATACAATATACTTCGTGATTTAAAATGCTTAGTTCGTATACGCGAGTTTATCACCAAGGGCGATGTGAAATGAAGGGCAATAACTAATTATCGCATTGGCCACTTTTATGGCGAGCAGACATGCATAAAAATACATATTTAATCATTTATGGTTTTATCTCGATAGGTTTTTAGGTTTAAATAGTTTTAAGAACATAAAATTCATACTATTTAGCTTGTTCCAAGCCCGTTTAATATGTTCAACTCGTCAATTTAAACGCACTATTAGGCCCGTCTACATTTCAACAACGATATTTAATATAAGTATATGTACATATCTGTGTTCGTATGGAAAAGTAGCTTATGTCGAAAGGCTGGCTTTAGTATAATGCGGTATTCGCAGCATACTATTGCGAATGACTCATTGGCGTGGAGCCGTTGAAGAACTTTTGGCAAATAAATAGTTCCGATACTAGCAAGTCAATATTCTTATTAAGTCTCATCAAAAAATTCCTTGTCGTTTAAAGATTAAAGGGAATGCCACATTATAGTAAAGCCAGCTTCCCGACATAAGCTACTATTCCACTACAAAGAAATGTATTATATTTAAAAATGTACCTCCAGTTGCTGATTTTGACATTGAAGTTGTTTTCCCAAGTGCCGTAATCTAAGTTCTTTGAAACGCATTCGCAGCGGCAAGGTTCTTTGAAATGGAGTCTTTTGCTGTATATTCCTGAAATATGCATAATAGTACGTTATGTAACTATGTGTTTACGTGCTAATTTTATCGGTGTTGTTACCAGGTATTTCCCTTGACCTCTTTGTATTGTTCTTTTAACATTTCCAGCTCAGCTAATCGATTTGCAATATCATAATCCTTCCAAAATCTGTCCAACGAACTCTGCAGGCTGTGCATCAGCTGTTCACTCATTTCAAAGATTAACTCGTCTTGCTTTTGCAGCACGTGTTTCTGTTGCTCCATTAAAACTTTAGCGAACTCATCTAAGTGTGATGGTCTAAAAAGACACAATTAAAACAGCTGAAAATTAGTGAAATCAGGACTATAACGGTTATGATTATTAAAATAAAAATCACATGGGACTACCAATTTTTGAAAAATTGAACTAAAAATAATATATCATAAATTTATTATTTAATCTAAAAAATTATTGGGTCAACTGTAAATCTACTGAAATTCTGTAGAAATTGTGCAGTAAAAATTTGTACATTGCATTTGATTTGCTAGTGATGAGCAACGAATTTTCTAAATTTTTAGGTTAAGAACCTGTTTGCTGACCGACTCCAGGAGGTTGGGTTTCAGCGGCTCCGGTGCGAGGCACTATGTAAGGTATCTTGAGCAAGGCAAAACTCCCGAGGTAGCTAGGGAGCTGGCTCTCGCTAGATAGGCCTCACAAGGGTCGAGCAAGCAGAACGACCGCCCCGCGGATGAGCGGGCATCAGCAGCAGGCTAGACAGATTGGCTCTCGCGTACAGACCGCACCCGCCGATGGGCGGAAGTCAGCCACCCGCTGATAAGCGGAAGAGCGGGTAAAGTCGATACGATGAGAGGCACATCAAGGTAGAGGGCCCTGGTGAGACCGCACCCGCAAAGCGGAAGAGCGGGCATTTAATACCGAATACTCCGGCCCCAAAGGAGCAGCCTTTCCAGATTTTGTGCTATTTTTTCGGATGTGGTGTTAACTGTTATATTCTTAATCGAATTTTTCAGGTACTGCGGGGTCAGGTCATATCTTTTGCATTCCAATAAGAATTTTAGTTGTTCCGTATGTCTTGCTAGTTTCTGCTTTTGTTTGCTGTAATGTTTTAAGGTAATGCATGTGTGTTCTCCATATTTGAATTTCATGTGCTTGTAGAAATCCTTCATTTTGCTATTTTATAGTTATTGCTGGTATCAAAAAATGTTCCCAACAATTTATTCCGGCAGGCCTTCCGCNCGAAATGTAGTTTTTTGAGTTCCCGTACTTCTGGATTATGTTCCATTTTTGAGAGAACCTAATACCTGTCAAGCAACAAAAATGATACAGAATTTTCTTGATAGGCTAGTCCGATCTAATTATCTTTAGTGCAAATAAAACAAGTTTATTCCACTATTACAGCCCAACGTTTCGCTAAACTTATTAGCATCATCAGGGGCGCGTTCGTTTATTTTTGTCTGTTACACCAATAAATACAAAATATAAAAAAAGAACATTAAAAGCAGAGAAACACAAACAAGTACATACATACATGTACGTATTCACCATGATGCAATAATGAAAAGTGTTGTACGTTGTGACAGCTCGAAATCGAACTACCTTAGGTCAATATTGTATTTTGGAAGTACAAGATAAACGGGAATAAAAAAAAGCCTTTTAGTTGAAAAAGTACTAAATTGTATGCCTTCTCAACAGCGTTCCGATTATCAGAATAGGTATATATATGGCTTGGTAGTCTCATAAAATTGTAGATAATTAAAATAATAAAATTAGGCGTGTTTTTATTCACAGGAATATGATATGCTTAAAATTTTCGAGCTGATGAATACCCAGCTAGAACAGTATGGCTTATATAATTCCTTTTATGAGCCGTATCACTAAGAAAATTATCCCTTATGAATTTGAAATGTGTCCCTTATATTGTACAGGCCAAAAAGAGGAATTCATTTACGTGTGATCTTTTGTCCCCCTCTTTCATATAGGCTTCTTTTGCGCATATATCAGGTTTCATAGCTGTTGACCATACCAATAATGCCTCATGCTCAGTTTTACTTGATCAATTCGTGTTCTCGAGAAAAAAAA